AGGAATGGGATAATGATTGTTGCTTTCCTAATGCAATAATCTGCTCCCTATGCACCAATTCTTGCCTCAGAAGAAATAGTAGCAAACTTGGTTTTCTGAGGCTCTGGCATAAGACAAATGCAGGGTGATGGCTGTACTTTTAACTCAGGCAGACTGCTGACTATGCTTAGCAGTGCGCTTCACTCCCAGTGCGCTGGGAATTTTTTATATTGTGAGGGTGATTGTTATACACAGGCAAGCAATATGTTAACTGAAAGGTGTATAAAAGTATCTGTTCATATATTGTGAGTAAATAAATTTTTAAAAATATGATTAGCTCACCAACAATATTTTCAAAGTAAAAATTTACTAACGTGAACTATGTAGGTTTTGAAACATTTCAGCAATTATTCTTGCTTCTCTCAAGACCACTTAAAGAAGTTGTACAACTCAGTCCTGGAAAGCCTACTTCTAATTACAGAACTTGCAAAAATACAGGTTTTGTATGCCTACAGTTGGAGTCAATAAATAAGTTGTAGAACCCTTGCCACAGGATATTTTGGATACCAAAATTACATACGGTCAAACACAACCTGGCAGATCAATTAAAGAAAATTGTTTTCAAGGACTATTGTACAAAAAAACAGGCTGTTTTCCAGGGTGGCAGACTATAGGGGGCTGGGAGGGTATAGGAGAACAAATATCACTGTGTATTTGACCTGTTCCTACATTCCTCTCAACAGATACTGGCCACTGTCAGAAACGAGATAAAGGAATGAATGGATCTTTCATCTGACTCAAGCTTATTCTTAAGTCCTAAACTTCTTATCTGGAACGAGGACTCTTTGGAATCCTGATTTTGAATAAGAACTTTTAATTATAAACCTGGCTTCACACTTATTGAAAAAGTTCATCAGTGTAATTCCAACAGAGAACATTCACATAGAATGTGGAATAGAATAATAGCTTAATTTTTTGCAGTAATTCTCTGGAGATATTATACTTATCTATCAGGGTACTAAATCATGGAATATTCAGCAAAACAATAAAACCAAACAGAATAAAACTAGAATTTACAAGGTTATTAGGGTAAAATATTTTCCAATATTGTATTAATTATTAAAGCTTAATCAAAGCCAATTGATCTTTAACACGTACTATCCACTGCTTATAACAAAACACAATTGTATGATGTAGGGAAGCATACTTTTTGAGTGTTTCTCTAAGATTTTTAAATCTTCCTTCAGATGACACAGTCTTCTGAAGCTTGTCCATGAGAGCTTTTGTCTAGAAAGAAAATGCATTACAAATGTCATTGCTGTTGCACATAAATGTCTGGGATTAGATTTTAGAAAAGGTGTAATTTATTTAGCATCTTTACCGCATTTTCAAAAGTAATAACATGAGCATTAGGAATTTAGCTTCATTGTAGTTCCTAGTGTATTTCTGAAAATGGAGAATAGTCAGCATTAAAGATTCTCCTTTGACTGATACACAGAACCTATACCTATGCTCATATTATTAGCCTGCAAATACAGGAAAAAACACAAGTTCATTAAATTAATGTTCAGCAATTCAGTTTACTATGTATACAAGAATATTAGAGACTTGATCGTACATGCTGCTGAGGATCCTCAGCTGCTTTTACTGAAATTAGGGACAGTAAAAGATGTCTTGCATCTTGTACTAAGTTGGTTTTGCCTCCAAGTTTCTGAAAAAAGCTGAATATATATTTGAAAATATGTTACTGTCTCACACAGATTACTTTCAGTGGGCATCATCAGAGCCTGGTTACTTCGTAAGCAAAATAAATTTGCTTTTCAGTCTATCATCTATGCTATAGACTTAAGACAGTATACAGAATCATGAGAAATTTGTCATATTTGAAACTGAATCTCCAATTAAAAGAAAGCTGTAGGCAGAGCAGACACTTTCTTTTTCTTCTAAATAGCAGGCTAAAGAAACACTCTGATTATATTTCCAATAAGTACTGGAGAACTATGCAACAATGTTAATCTGTTGGGGTTTTTTTAATTGAGAAGTTTCAAAATCAAATCCAAAACATAGAACTTTTGGAGGTAAACCTATATAACAGTTTATACTGAAAGGATTTTTAGCATATTTTTAAATAAAAGAACGTAGCACCAGCTATACAGCATCTGAGAAAAAGCTGACTGAAGAAACAAGGCAGTGAAGTCAGAATGTATTCTACGCGGATTTCATTGCTTGGGTTGCTTGAGTGTTTTGCAAAAGCTGCAGAAACATACGAAGGAGGAAATGCAATGATAAAAGCCCATCTTTTGCATATCAATTATCCAGATCTAAAAAGGGCAACCTGAAATCTTCCAATTAGCTGGAGTAAATCCTGTATCCAAATACTGCCTAACTTACAAGTGATTGGTTCTGTCCTACCGACCTCCTCTTGCTCTGTTATTCCACCATACTAAAATACTAAATTTTTTTCAAATAACAGAAAGCTGTGGTTTAAAGAATTCAAACAATTTCTCCAAACCATTTAAAACAGAGAACATAAAATCACAGAATTGTAGAATATCTCGAGTTTGAAGGGACCCATAAGGATCAAGTCCAACTCCCTATAAAAGACTGGTTACTCTTCATCCTGGCTAGTCTTTTTTGTGTATGTCTTATTTTTGTTATTGGCAGCCATTCTCACAGGCTCAGCCATGCTTCTGTCAGTCTCAGCAGCAAGGTGAGGGTTAAAGGGAGATATTAGCTGCATCTAAACTTAGGCACCTAAATGAGAAAGAGGTCTGGTTGTCTACGGTTTCTTACTGGGTAGCAAAATGCCAGCACCTTGAGAGGAAATGCTGACCTTTTGCCTGACTTTCTGCACAGGCAGGGAAATATGGCTCCTATTTTAGGCACCTGAGCTGACTACAGTTATAGCTAGTAACCACCTAGATGTGTGTATCTGAAAATATCTAAATTTAGTTTTCTCAAAAAACTTCAGGCTCAAGTCGTAGGCTTAGGCACTTGCTAATTCTATTGAAATCAGTTTGTTCCTACAGATATTTAATTAATGGTACCAAAAAAAGAGTAAGCTAAATACAAAATATTTTGAGATGAAATACAGTACCACTTAGTGTTTCCAGCAAATAGTCAAGAGTACTATAAAAGTAGAAATATTTATGGGAGGAATCTCCCTATCTCAACATGTTGTTTTCTGAACACACTGAGCAATGAAAACTAGAAATCATACTGTAATTGTATCTTTCTTACCTGTTTGGATACTTTACCCCAAGTTTTCTTAAGTCTGTAGATTGCACTTCTGTTCAAGGCTGACGTGATTTCTAACACACCATTGTAATTGTGCATACATCGACAGATATCAGCTACTGCTACCCACTTTTCAATTGAGTTAGCCCGGGAGCTGACATCAGCGTAATTCATGATTTGGGAGGCAACAAGGTTACTCATCTAAACAAACAAAGAGTAAGAAACGTAGGACATTTAAATATAATCCCTTTCAACATAAAATTATTTACTGAACACAGCAGACAAAAATAATGCACAACAGAACTCATGGCTTTTAATAAAACCAGAGAAAGTGTATTGAGAACAGTGTTGTAGGGAAGGGGAGGTGGAATGATGATGCGAAAGAAGGGTAAGAGATGCAATGGGGAGTATCTCCAAGCCAACAGTATAAAACCAATAGGGAAGTCTCTCAATAAAATTCAAGGAAAATGGTAAAGAGCAAGTATATGATTGGGGATACAAAGGGCATTCATTAAATAGAATTGGTGCTGCATTTTCAATCTCTGAAGAAAATTCAGTTTCTTCTGTAAGCAACAAGGCATTGTAGCACAGTTTAAAATGTTATACTCTATTACATTGCTGTTGAAATGCTGAGTACCAATTCTTGAAAACGAGACTCATGTGCTTTGATTTAAAAGGTTAATGACAAAATGACTGTAACATTCAGTTACTAGCAGATAAGAAGTTACATCACATTGTAAACAAAAGATATTTTTGTTCCAGAGGTCATAGATAGTGTCAATAGAGTTCCTAGAAAGCAATCTATATTTAAGAGTACTTACATCATTAAAATGTTGACTAGTTTTCATAATATAGGGTGTTCTCTCATTTTTATCCACTTTCATCCAGCCCTGCCCGAGAAACTCTCTAAACATTGAGGGGAGAGAACAAAACAAACAAAAATGCCCTTAATATACACAGCACAGAGTCTCTGTCTGTAACCAAAGCCTAAGTGGATTTCAAGTATACCTTATTTTGTTAGAAGCTAATAACACAGCTTTACACTAATTCCAGCATTTCACTATAGCATTTTTTTACTCTGTCTGAAGTAGTAAGCATTATAAAGAAGATTTATTTTTCTTTTAATCCCCTCCCCCAATCCCTCCATCCTAATTTTCAGCATTGTGACCCTGTTTGAAATTGGTCTTGTCAGCTTACATGGTTATATTCGTGTTAAACTGCTGTATGAATGAAGCTGATTTGACACTCCCTCCCTGGAGACTCAGTACTTCCATTCTATAATTCACCCTTCACTAGCCCAGAGCCTTAGACCACAGATTTTTTTTTCTTAGCAAAGGACTCAGTTTTTCAAAACATGATGAAAATTTAGGGGAGTCAGAGGCAATGATAGGAACAGCCAAAGGACATTATCCTGCTATGTGTGCAAACCTTTTTGTCAGTAGCATGAATTAGTGTAATGCCTAACACTGCCAGTCAGTAACTCATCCACCATGCTCGCTTCAGTCACTCGTAGGAGAACACTTACTCATATGGTATGCTTCGGAAAACTACGTGGTCTAAAAGAGTTATTTGCTCTGCAAGCTCCATGGCTGACAAAGTCTCAAAGCACTCTGGTTTTGGACAATCTGACTGCAAAAATAAGGAGAACACTTAATGATCTCTTTTTGCATCAAAGGACATTTCAAAGCACAGGGTATTAAGAACTTCATACGAACATTCAAGAGACAGTTGTAATTAGCTTCTTTGCTACAAAGAAATAAGAATTAAGGAAAATTGCTAACAACGTAAGGGTAAAGTCAGGCTGGAAACTCATAGGAAAACAGGCCCATACCAAATCATGAATAAGTACATAGGTAAATTAAAGTCTGTGTATTCCACATTACTTTGCACATAATAATACTGCACCTAGTTCTGCTCATGATCATACTGCCCACACTCTTCTTTGGATTAATGCAATGCACTTATGAGATGGTAGTGACTACAGTTTGGAGGACAGGCATTGTCAGTCAAAGCCAGTTATGGTTCTGATGGCAGTTGAGATGGCAGATACTTAAAATTTCATATATATCAACATCCTTCCCCTTTTTTAATTCATCGTGTGATTTAAATCCAAATCCTAAAGTTTTGATATGATAAACTTTGATATGGGCTCCAAATTCTTATTTTCTCTAAACTGAAATGTATATTCCTGATATAAAAAAACAGTATTTCTGTCCAGAGTTGTAAAGCTGCAGTTGTGCTACATTTTATTGACTTAAACCCACAAGATTTCTATAGGAGTATTTATGTTTAAATTTCAAGGTAAACTTACCATCTGAATGATATCCTCTATTTTTAAATGGGTATCATCTTGATCATCCTGAGAAAGAGCCCTGAAAGATTAAGTAGCAGAACATCCTATATAAATAAAATTGGTTATGGTTATGAGAAAACCTTATCACAGATAGGCAATCATGTTCATCTAAAATAAATTCTAAGACTGCAATTGAAGATGTAAAGAAAAAAACTCTGGTACAAAAAATCTAGTAACTTGTTTTAAGTAAAAGTGTACAAAATGGTACAACATCAGAGTCATGTAGGGTAAAATGGTGGTCACAGAGGCTTAAAACGTCTGAGCTTAGAACAGCATACATTGTGGAATGGTCAATGACAATAACTACTGTACTTATTTGTTGATTATAGTGATAAGGTTTCTACATCTATCGCACTTTGACTCTAGTGCAATGAAGTTTGGTGGACAAAGGAAAATTCCCTTTTTAAGAACTGGACTGACAATGCAAAAATACAACACAATAACAATAATATTCAATCAGAAGCTCTCTATTCTGAATAATCCTAGGAAACCTAAAGGTGGAAAATTACAACTCAAGCCTTTTCTCTGATTTTTAAACTAGTTTGCTAAATGATATTTTGGTGAAATATTTGAAAAATCAACATTTGAAAAGTGAAGAAAGCAAATCAGGCATGCATCGAGTGATTCACTGGGAAGTGTTCTTGTTTATTGGCATGACAACTGTCCTATTCAGTGTCCCACACAAAGAGCTGTGAGTATGGAAATAGACAACAAACTGCTAGCAGATTTTACTTGTAGCAAGTACATGGTTTGTTTTCAGTAATACTAGTGTTAATGCCTGCTTCCAATTCTGCTATAGAAAACTTGTGATTATTAGGGTTATTTCAGAGTAAAGGGTCAAAAATGAACCTAGCAGAAGTAATAAGTATTCATCAAACCCCATCTACCCTGATAGAGTATCTTGGCACATAATTCTAAGATCTTATGCCTTCCTTTGGAAAATATAGACTCAAAGAAACCTTGAATGGACTGGATTTATATAATATAGTATAGAGAAAATTCAGCGAGAAAGAACAGTATGACGGTATGTAAAAGACTGCCTATAAAGATACCTACAATATGGCAAGAAGTCACTGGACTGATTTGCATCAGAGGAGATTTAGTTTCAACATTAAGTTCAATTTCCCAACTGCAAGTATAGGTGAGCACTGAAACAGGCTTTCGGCAGAAGTTGTAGAGTACTCATCATCTGAATTTTCAAGGAAAGTTTAGATGACCATTTTCAGTTCTACTGATCATTCCAGTAAGCACAGCAACTGGACCAGGTATTTTCTCATCATCCCTCCAGTTCTTTATTTTTGCACGCAGTAGTAACAGACTTTCCATGCACCAGCTGGGGAAAGGGTTAAAAGAGAGGATTACATTGCCTGGAGTCTTCAGCTATGAGTATAAGATACGGAATTTGTACTATGTGGGTGGGGAGGAAGTGTTAATGCTTAGTACACTAGGTTCTTCTGTTGTGGGTTGCTGTTGTTTCCTTTTGGTTTGCCAAATTAGAGGACTAGGTTAAAATCAAATGCAGATACACAGAGAAAGGATCTAAGAAACCTCCTTGCCTTCATTTTCAGCCTATCAAATCCACACAAAATGCCCCTTTCTTCACAGGAGTTGGAAACACCTTATGTCCGATGGGCAAGCCGTGCAAAGTCTTGAATGTCTACTTCTTCAGGAGAACTCTAAGCTTCTTCTCCAGATAGTAACAGTGCATAGCCTCAGTAACTGTAAATAGACTAGCAATCTGTCTTTCCTGAGCAGCTTATTTGGTGCTGTATCTCATGACTGATTGCCTGCAGAAAGCTGTTGTTCATCACATAACAAGAGCATGTGCTTCCTGGCAATAAAAAAAAGAGAGGGCTTGCCCTTCTGCCCCAAGTATTCTCACTGATCTTCTAAACTCATTGTTTGAGTTCCTTACATATAACTTCATATTGGCTGGAGTTCTCATCTTTGATACAGAAATGATTGCATTTGCTTAATACAAAATAAAGTAGGAAACATGAGATTTTTAAAAGGCTGAAAATACTTAACTTTTCCCCATCTTTGCTTCCTGATATTCTCTAACATGACATCTCACATTTTATGTAGACTTCCAACCCCTCATTCTAAAGGGGTGCCTGGTGCTTCTTCTCTAACACAGTGGTCTCGTGAAAAAAATTCTCCTTTTATCCATAAATGCTCTATGTATAAATCTGCAGATAAAGTTACTTTTTGATAGCATCAATAGTAGCTTCCCCTTCAGTCTGCACCGTTGTCTAGCTTTGCGATACCTAGTATCAACAGAGGTCTAGGAAGGTATGTTGAGCTGATGAGTTCTGCTTGGGCAGTTCCTCTTGCACTCCAGGAGAGCATCCTGGAAGCTGGGTAAGAAGCACAGGTCCATGTGAAAAGAGTTATGAGAGAAAGCAAAGGTAAGGAGAGATTCTTCTGGACTGTTCAACAATACCCCTGTCAGAGAGGACTGAATGGGGTGACACCTTCATCGTTATCCTTACAAATGAAGGAAGTAAATATGTAAGAAATAACTTTCTAATTCTCAAGAGTCAGCAGCTAAGATTAGACCTCTCACTCACTTAAACTATTCTTCATGCTTGACCAGTCCAAGTATTAAAATAATTTTCTAGTGGAAAATATTAACATCTGTCTCTTCATTCCTTTACAGTACATAAAATATTTAAAAAATATTTTAAAAGCTGGTGCAAGTTATAGAGACTGAAATGTATTGTCTGGTGAGATCATACAAAGCAGAAAACTGGTCATCCATCATATTTTGACCTCTGCATATCCCTGGATTTCATTTACATTTATTCTGAGGAAAAAGGAGAAGGAATTGTTTCTTGAACCACTCTTTTGTTCTCCAGATAGGACTATTTATAAAAGTTATTAACTGCTGTTCAGTCTGAGCTTTACACCTTCCTGCTTCACCGTAACTGAAATTTTACCTAGGTTTCAGGGGTTAGTAAATAAGGCTGATAAAATCTCAAGCAAAACATACTTCAGTAGGTTTGCCTAGCTTTCAGAAAGGATATTGAATAAAAAGAAATAAAATCTTTTTTACCCTGCAGAGAAACTCTGTCAGTCCAATTCAACAACAATCTCATCATGCAAGAAATACCAGCTGTTCTGTTTGATCACTCAGGAAGGCATGAAGCTGCTCAGTATCTCTCATAAACACTTTCTTTGCCATTCATATTCTATACAGAGTCTTTCCCAGAGCTAACCATGATACCTTCGGAATACAAACCAACCCTCCTCCTCTAATCTCTGCTAACAAAGGGACTGACTTTCCAAGAAATTTATATGCACAGATGCGCACGTACACACAAGGGCTGGGTCAGTTTGTAAAAAGAGACATTTGTACCCCATATCCTTCAAGGAGACAGGCCATGGAATATATCCATGCTCAGAAAGCAAGAACCTTCTTTCACGAGTGTTTGAACATTGAATTTATGGTAAGGAATGCTTTTCCTAACCTCACTTTGAATTCCTGTACTTTTCAGAGCCGAGAGTAGACTACAGAAACTGAAATGTGGGGAAGCCAAGACCTACCGTGAGGGTTGACTGGCAAAGCAGAATTCTGATAGACTACATGTTTTGATATGCCAAGGCCTGTTAGATGTAAAAGTCTGCAGCAAGTACCTCTTCAGAACAACTAAAAAGCCCATTTTATGACAGTCACCTAACAACTGGGTGAATGACTATTTTCATGAGGGGCATGTCAACTGGCTCACCTCTCCTTCCTGTTTTCATCCTGCCCCAGAGAAGCCTTTTGAGTGAAAATTTCATCAAACTTCCAGTTATGACAAATCTGTGCTTTCACATAAAAATATATGCTGTCAAAAATCTTCAAATTGATTTCTAGTAACAGTATAAAAGCTCTTCAGTTCTAGGTGGGTAATTTATCTTCCTCCTCTAAGTAGTATTAGACGAAAGCTCTCCATCTAGAAGAAAACCAAGAAGAAAACATCTTTCCAAGAAGGTAGGTATGTGGTGGTGATGGACTGAGCAGCATTTCTCCAAACCAGACATTGGTACGTAAACCAAAAGAGAAACACAATACCTGGGAGCACCTCTATGCATTTCTACAACAGGAAAGACCCTAGATACCTTTAGGACATCCAGGGTGGGACTCACATCCTCTGCAAGTCACTGCCCGTGTTCTCTAATTGTCTGAGAAAAGTTGTCTTCTATGATCTCTGGAGGAACAGTCAGGATGCCTAACTTCAGCCAATTTTGGTGGACAGAATCTCTTTTGTGATAGGCAGTTGCCTTGGAAGGAGTGCTTCATTAGCTGTCTACGGTTTGTTTCATGGTTAGATGCTTCAGTTAGACACAGTGGGTCCCCCCAAAGAACTTTTTCTAAGTCAGTGCAGAGAGGAAATCGCTTTCTCCTCACCCTGTCATTATAACTTATGGATGGTTCAAGGAACTAAAGAAATAATTTTATTCCGTTACAGGCCTTCTCGGAACATTAAGAACATTGACACTAATCTGCCATGTTGGCAAATGATAGAAAATCTGTAATCTGATGCAGAAAAAAAGAAAACAATGACATGAGAGATATACCAGTGTAGAACATGGTGCTTCTTCACAATGTCTTGATGCAGCATGGGAGCGTTTGCCTAAAGCTTAGTAGTTCTTGGTCAAGAGGAACATAGTCTTGGTTGTCCCTAATACAATAAATAGTAATCTTGAGAGATGAGTAATAGAGAGAACTCTCCCATCTTAGGGAAGAGCTTGTTCAATGTTTGCTTTGACCAACTCCACAACCAGCCATGGTACCACAGGAGACAACAGGCAAAGAACATCAGGGAAATAACCACTTCTGTGTCACCATTTCCTCTTTTTGCACCAGAAGCAGTATCTTTGTTTTTAGTGCAAATATAGAAAAAACTTTATTCTTCTGGCACTAGAAACCTGGTTTCCAACTGTGTTCATACAATTGTATTGTCAGATAGGATGCAGGCATGAGGATATTGTCTCTTCTGCTTCTGTTGATTTCTCATTCTTCACAAAATCAGT